GTTTACCCATTTGTAGAATTGCTACTAGACTTTTTATGTGCAATTAATGGGATTAATAGCTCTCAGGACGAAGGAGGCAGAATCAAGGAGCAAAGTGCTTGCATTTGCATGTCAATTACATGATAGTCTCATCATGAGGTAACTAGCAAGCTATGCAGTGACAAGTGACCTGTTTTTAGTTCTTTCACATCAAGGCTGTACAACTTAGTCCTCCAGGGTTATAAGATGACACCATTTCTCCAATTAGCACTAAGGCAAATATTCACTAAATAGCAAAATGGCCTTACTTCGAAACCGTCTTTCAAAACGTAGTCCAAAGTCCAAAGTTAAAATAACTCTAGTTGAGAGTAAATGAGTTTTCCCAGTTTTGATTATCAACTCAATATGACTCACTCTTTAGTGGATAATTAATCAACTTATTACTTTTGTGTGCAATATTTATATAAAACAATGAATTGTGGAGAATTAATAAGGGCATTGCAAATTTTGATCTATAAAAACAGAATTGGAATTTTTTTTTTCTGTTTTGCTATGACCTGTTTTTATTACCTAAATTACAAATCCATTGACAGTAATCCCTTGTTTAATGTATTAACAGAAGTTACTATTAAAATCTGTTGTGTGCCATATATCCTATAATTGAGTGGTATGAAATCATGAAGGGATGGGATCATGGATGGTTAGCCATTGATGGAAGAGAGTGTGTGATCACAGCCAGATTAAAGGGACATTGTAGTCACTAGAACAACTAGAGCTTAATGTAGTTGTTCTGGTGAGTATAGTATGTCCCTGCAGGCTTTTTGCTGTAAAAATTGCCTTTTCATAGATAAGACAATGCTGACTCGGACGGCCACTAGAGGTGCTTCCTGGGGCACTGCAGCACTGTTGCTCAGTGTCTCCACGCCCTACATAGAGAAGCTGAAGATTCCTTATAGAGATTCATTGACTCAATGCATCTTTATGAGGAAATGCTGATAGGCCAGCACTGTTTGGCTCTGCCCCCCACCTCATCTCCTTGGCTGAGATCATCAGAATTTACAATCTCAGCCAATCTAAAGCTTTCCCACAGGGTTAAATCTTACCTTTATCCCAGTGCTGGCTGACCCGGAATAAAGGTAAAATTTAACACTATTTAACCCCTTAAGGACACATGACATTAGTGACATATCATGATTCCCTTTTATTACAGAAGCTTGGTCCTTAAGGGGTTAAGGGGAGTGAGGGGGTGGCCAGCCACCTAAATAGTGATTTGAATACTATAGAGTCAGGAATACATGTTTGTATTCCTGACCCTACAGTGTTCCTTTAAGATTGCCCAGGGCCTTAGGCAGTATGTCAGATTGGGGCCCTGGGCTCTTTTCGTTGACTTTTGTATGTAGTGTCTGAGTGCTGTTTATGTGGGGGATATTTAGTTGTGTGTGTGAGAGAATGTTTGCAGTGGGTGAGTATTGTGTGTGTGTGTTTGTGTGTGTGTGAGGAGCTGTACGGGTAAGCTATGTATGCTTGTGTGTGAAGGGAAGTCTGAGTGTGGCTGAGTGTTGTGTATGATGTTTGGGGGACTTTCACGAAGACTCTAGTGTTTTTGTATGAGGTTTGATGCAAGCTATTTGTCACTCTGTCCAGTGTTTATCTGATGACTGTGAGGTACCATTGAAGAAGCTCAGGCTGTGAGGTGAGCATAACTGAGGTAGAAGATGGATGGAACACAGAAACAAAGGAAAGGAAATGAAAGGAAAGGAAGGGAAGGGCAATTTTCCCTCTTGCCATTAATGATCTACTGTAAATCATAAAGAGTTGTGAATGAGAAAAGGGTCTTATTTATTTGGAAGCAACCTGAGTTGTACAACATTGGCAGACACCTAATGACACACTGATTACCACTATATACATGCGTACTCAATGATTACTTATAAATACAATAAGAGAAAGGTGACAATGTTGGCAAAATGAAATAAGAAGTCAACAAAATTAAGCAAAGGCAAACAAGTAGAGATGTTGATTGCACAGGAATTATATTGCATGATAGAAACATGTTAAAAGTCCATCAATTGGTCTAGGTTACTTAGAGAGTGCATGCTGACCACGTCAGATTTTGAGACCACAAAAGCTTATCTAGATAGGACACTGCCATGTTTCAAATGGATCTCACAAGAGAAGTCATTCCAGGTAATGAGAAAACTCAAACATGGGATGATGGGCAGATGTATGTCAAAACCATTTGTCCTCAAGGCATCTGTCTGTCTGTTGTTTTTTTTTATTTATAATTCTTTATTTGTGCAGGTGTTGCTTTACGACATAGTCAATTAATACATGCATACAAACTTTAGTCGCGGTGACTACATGCACATAACATAGTAGACATTGTGTGTTCACCTGTTTTTCTCATGTTAGACTAGGTCATATATTTTGATAACATTGCCTCTCTCAGCAGGCATATTATGTTAACACTTGGTCGGGGAAGCCAGGTTTGTTAAAGTGATGCGTGGTCGGGTGGGAGTAGCCCGTCTGGTTGCCTTCAGGTGTGCTATACTAATGCAGTCGCTAAAACTGGACTTAAACCAAGTAGAATAAGGAAAAGGAGATCAACAAACAACAGTAAAGTGAGGTCAAGTACATTGCATTATAACATATTAACTACCGTTTGTTATGTCAAGGTGCTTGGGTCTACCCTGGATTGTGGAAGTCAAGCTGGGCCCCTAACCTATGGGGTAACAGGGGGAGGGGTGTAAGATGAGTGGGTAGCTGTCAGTTGGCTCTGAAGGAGCCTTCATAGATGTTTGTCATATTTTAGCACAGATGTTCTTTGGAACAAAATAACTGGTATAAAATACATTTTGCATAGTGTGGGACGAGAATACGTTGAAAAAGAATAAGGGACATGATCCGTTATGGCTTGTATCCCTAATTCACTGCTTCTTGGGGTGAAAGGTGTTATGTTGTCCACGTCCCAGGTGCTGTTGGTGGCTTGTGCTCTCTGCTCTCGTGGACTATTTCCCAATCTCTTCGCTGTCAAGAAGGGGGTGGCCTCTACCACGTCGGTGGCCTTGAATTGCTTGCCATCTTTGGTGACCATAAGGGCTCTAGGAATAGTCCATTTATATGGTATTCCTGCTTCTTGAAGTCGTTGTGTGATTGGTTTCATCGTTTTCCTCCATAGCAAGGTGGAGCGGTGCAGATCTTGGAAGATTGATATCGTATAAGACTCAAAGTCCAGTGGTGATTTATTGTGGACACCCCTCAGCTATGCTTGTTTGTCTTGTCTTGTACTGCAGCATGATGTCTCTTGGGACCGCTGGCAGTGCCTTGGACGACTTAGCGATGCGGTATGCTTCATTGATTGCGAATTGCTTGGCTTGCTTTGCTGGGAGAAGTGTATTCACTAGTCTGTTAATGAAGTGGGGTAGCTCTTCCACCATCACTGTGTCGGAGACCTCCCTTATCTTATGATTTTTTTGACTGATTTTATTGTCTAGGGCGTCTACTCTTAGTGTCAGGGTGGATTGGTGTGCCTGCAGCTGTCTGACTGAGTCTCCCACCGCCGCTATGTTGCGTTGTAGGTTGGTGATATCGGTTTCTGTGGTCTGGACGCGGGTTGTGACTGTCTGTATTTCAGACCACACCACGGCTATGTCTGTTGGATTTTGACAAAGAGATTGTCTATGTCCTGTTTAGTCGCTGGGACCATACTTGCTGGGGTGGATGTGGGTTTACTTCAGGGAGATCATGCCAAACTAATCTTATTGATTTTTTTGATTGGGTAACTAAAATTATAGATCAGGGTGGTGCAGTAGACATTGCTTACCTAGATTTCAGTAAGGCTTTTGACACTGTTGCACATAGAAGGCTTATCAATAAACTGCAATCTTTAAGTTTGGATTCCAATATTGTTGAATGGGTAAGGCAGTGGCTGAGTGACAGGCAACAGAGGGTTGTAGTTAATGGAATATATTCGAAGCTTGGACTTGTCACCAGTGGGGTACCTCAGGGATCTGTACTTGGACCCATTCTCTTTACTATTTTTATTAGTGATATTGCAGAAGGTCTTGATGGTAAGGTATGTCTTTTTGCTGATGATACTAAGATATGTAACCTGGTTGATGTTCCAGGAGGGATAAGCCAAATGGCAAATGATTTAGGTAAACTAGAAAAATGGTCAGAGTTGTGACAACTGACATTTAATGTGGATAAGTGCAAGATAATGCATCTTGGACGTAAAAACAAAAGGGCAGAGTACAGAATATTTGAGTCCTAACCTCAACATCTGAGGAAAGGGATTTAGGGGTGATTATTTCTGATGACTTAAAGGTAGGCAGACAATGTAATAGAGCAGCAGGAAATGCTAGCAGAATGCTTGGTTGTATAGGGAGAGGTATTAGCAGTAGAAAGAGGGAAGTGGTCATTCCATTGTACAGAACACTGGTGAGACCTCACTTGGAGTATTGTACGCAGTACTGGAGACCGAATCTTCCGAAGGATATTGATACCTTAGAGAGAGTTCAGAGAAGGGCTACTAAACTGGTTCATGGATTGCAGGATAAAACTTACCAAAAAATGTTAAAGGATCTTAACATGTATAGCTTGAAGGAAAGACGAGACATGGGGGATATGATAGAAACATTTAAATACATAAAGGGAACATTTAAATACATAGCTGCTCACAAAACCTATACATAAAAAAAACTACCACAACAAGAGGACATAGTCTTAAATTAGAGGGACAAAGGTTTAAAAATAATATCAGGAAGTATTACTTTACTGAGAGGGTAGTGGATGCATGGAATAGCCCTCCAGCTGAAGTGGTAGAGGTTAACAGAGTAAAGGAGTTTAAGCATGCGTGGAATAGGCATAAGGCTATCTTAACTATAAGATAAGGCCATGGACTAATGAAAGTATTTAGAAAATTGGGCAGATGGTTCTTATCTGCCGCCAAATGGTTCTTATCTGCCGTCACATTCTATGTTTCTATGTTTCTATGGTTCTGTGATCAGCTGTGGGAGGCCCTAGGGCTTCCTCGTCCCCCCTTCTTCCTCCTGAGGATCATAGGCCTCAGTCTCTGCCCCCTCCAATCCCCTATGTTTCGGTGTGCGTTGGAGCAGTGTGCCGATGTCTTGGGCTTCCCTAGGTGTTTGTACCTGGGATCTTTGGGACTTCTTCTCCATCTCGTCCGAATCTTGGGATTGTGTCTGCTGGGCTTCGGGTGTAAGCCAGTCCGGGTCCCACCAGGCCGCAAAGGCATTTGCCACATTTTTCTGGCAGGCCACGAGGGAGGCATAATGAGGCCAGCGTTTGTGTTTCGTGCCCGGCGGCAGAAAGAATGGCATTGGTGTTTGCCTCTCCCTCTCCTGCACCCGTTACCAGTCATTAGGTAGGACGATGCTTGGTAAAAACGGGGATTGGTGTAGGTTTTTACCATGAGATTAGCGGAGCTCTCGGAATGGCGTCTGTGCTGGATCGCCCCGCCCCCCTGTTTGGTACAGGAACACAAAAACATAAATCAACCTTATTTAGTGTCCCTAAATAAATGGTAAACGTATAAAAATCTGTTTTTTATAATATATATTAGTTCTTAATGACATTATTTTAAAAAAATATAATATTATTTCTTATGACCTAATTTTTATAATAGCATAGCACCATTAAAAAAAAAAAAAAAATCATATTATAGCGAGCTGGAAATGTACTTTGCAGGATATTGCAGAATTTCCTGGCATATATTTATAAATTTGAGTTTGATGTATTCAAAATACTTTGACAATTGAATTTAATGAATAATTTTTCATGTTCTTTGGCTTCCAATGTATCATCTCATCACAGCACAATGGATTTTTAATGAAAATGCAACATTTCCTGCCTTAAAATGATCCGCTTTCAACACCTGATGGCTTTTTTTTTTGTAGTAATCACATAGTGGGAGTCCGAATATGTAATGTCAGATCATTTACCTAAATTTTTATTAAACTTGGCTGGAAAAATACTCATTAAAGAACACTAATGAAAGCACTCATTCATCCTGTAAGAAAAAATAGCCATAGTCAACTAAAAAATGATGTCGCCTCTGTTATTAAGCAAAGTAGTCATTCACAATTAAGTCATTTTGTGGATATATAAATCTAAATATTCTTATGTCTAATGCACACTAAGATTCTTGGATGTGAATATGATCTATGGAAACAATTGTGGGTCTCCCTAATGTTTAGCAATAGTAACATTATTATAGTTTGTATTAATTAGTTTTAATTCCAAAGCATTGTAATTGTAGTTGTGGTTGTCGTTTAAAAATGAGACTAGATTGTTTTATAATGAAAACAATGTCATATACTTTAAATATTACTGTTATATATTGAGCATCAATGTAATCCTGCATCCTTGTAGTGTAATTATAAAAACAAAACAAAAAGATTGAAGGAAAAAAGTAGACTTGTGCACAGCGAGACAATTCTGCTGGGGCGAGAACGTTTCGGGATGCCTGACTATGAGCCAAATGTCTGTTCTACTCAGCAGAATTTCGGTACCCAGGTTTTGAGTCTGAACCAAATCAGAAGAATAAAAAAAGTGTGATACTGTACCAAATCATAACAGTAAACTGAACATGCACGCAGTGTGTGTTTTAATTTGTCCATGATTTGGGTACATTTCGGCTCAGAGTTTGGGAATCCAGATGATCACCCACTCAGCCCAAATTCAGCTGAATTGTTCAGCCCAAACAAATCTCCAAGTCTAGAAAAGAGATAAAGAATGCCCTGCTCAACAAGCTGCTAAAACATATGCTTATATTAAGGTTAAACGGAATTATATTTACAATGTACATTGTGATATTGCACTCATTACTACATTACATCACATTGGGTATTTTTATACTCTTAACAGAAATATTCACAAAAGTATGAATTGCTGGAATTCAAAGTGAATTTCAAATTTCACTCCAAAGTAGCGGAGCTGGAAACATTCTTCAAGTCAGCTATGCTAACAGTTGAGGCATTACATTTTAAATTTATCGTGAATTCCCAACAATTCTCACTGTACTAAATAACCCTGTAAATATGTTGAAATAAATACCACGACAAAATGAAACTAAAAGCTCCAAATATTTTTTTTATACACCAATAGGGTTTGTCATAATATGGAATAAACATGGAGGAATAACAAGGGGAGTGCCAGATGTAGGCCAAAATAAATCTACTGACAAAATTCTCCATCTGAGCAATTTTTTTCAAATTTTTCCTATTTTGGTTCAAAAGTTATATGATCAATTTTCTACAATGCCTGGCTTAGTAAATGAGTTATAAGTTCTTCTTTCATGAAATTGGCAAGGTGAATCCATTTGTCATTTATGACTATTATAGATGTAATCTGATCCAAATCACTTAGTGGGCAAGTACGCAAGATATTTGTCCATTTGAAACATGATGGTGAACAGTGACATCCATGGGAGAAGAATGTAAATAACTTTAAACTACTTATGGTATAATGTCGCTATTTTGAGAAATTAACTTCAACACTTTATCACCCTTAAAGGAACACAATAGTCACCTAAATTACTTTAGCTAAATAAAGCAGTTTTAGTGTATAGATCATTCACCTGCAATTTCACTGCTCAATTCACTGTCATTTAGGAGTTAAATCACTTTGTTTCTGTTTATGCAGCCCTAGCCACACCTCCCCTGACTATGATTGACAGAGCCTGCATGAAAAAAAACTGGTTTCACTTTCAAACAGATGTAATTTACCTTAAATAATTGTATCTCAATCTCTAAATTAAACTTTAATCACATACATGAGGCTCTTGCAGGGTCTAGCAAGCTATTAACATAGCAGGGGATAAGAAAACCTTTATTAAACAGAACTTGCAATAAAGAAAGCCTAAATAGGGCTCTCTTTACAGGAAGTGTTTATAGAAGGCTGTGCAAGTCACATGCAGGGAGGTGTGACTAGGGTTCATGAACAAAGGGATTTAACTCCTAAATGGCAGAGGATTGAGCAGTGAGGCTGCAGGGGCATGTTCTATACACCAAAACTGCTTCATTAAGCTAAAGTTGTTCAGGTGACTATAGTGTCCCTTTAATACTTTCACCCAAACGAGTTCTATTAAACAGTAGACTGTTGGCCATAAATATGGCTTCATGAAAAAAGCCAAAGAAAGAAATTGTGGAGTGCAATAAACATTAATTAACTGCTAATTAGCTGCTCACAAAACCTATAAATATTTTGTATAAAATATATCAACATTTTGTACGTTATTATTTCTGTATAACGCCACAGTTCCTTTAGTTTTTAAGTGCTCACTGGTGGGACACCTCACCAGCTTATATTTTATTTTTCTTATAATATTTACGATTGAACTCTTAGAATTATACAGTTCATTTACCACATTACAAAACAGAATTATGATAAAAGCATTTTGCCACTGAAAGAAATAAAGAATTATGGGAAAATAAAGAACAAATAAATATATATACCTTAAAGGATATTCATGGAATGTGAGATAATGTGTGTATGCACAGAGAGAGTCAACCTGTTAAACGCCATTGTCTGAATTAGCAATGACCCAAAGCAGGACTATTATCTGCATCTAGATATTAGTGAAGAAAACTGATAGACCTTTGCACTAGGTTTTTGTGACCTGTCTTATCATTGTCAGTTTCAGAAGAATCCATGCATTAATTTTCTTATTTTTCCTGGCAACTGCTCTAACTTTAAAGTAGTGAGATTGAAGTAGAAAGGATTTTATGGCACAGCTTCTTTTTTACAGATCAATAGTCCTTGTCTCTGTTAAAGCATTCAAGCATTTGATATTGAGTCTTGATGGCATTAAGATCACTTTTTATATCAATATCAACTATGTCTAAAGTGATAGAATGATTAAATCTCTGAGTAATTCATAAGTATTTAACGAGGTGCTGGACACATTGCTGATAAGATACACTCTCTCCAACCACACTAATAGGCACACAATAAAACACTTAAAGAAATGCTGTAAAAAGCAAACATTAACTATTCTCAGACCATGATTTTGTGTGTGTATATATATATATATGTATATATATATATATATATTAATTTATGGAGTTGTCATTTAGGATATAAAATTTAAATAGGGACTGGTAAAATATGCACATATTACATAACTATTAGTTTTATTCATATATTCTTTTGAAAACATATGAATAGAAAATTCTAAGCAGCTTAAAAACTACAGAATTATCTAGTCACATATTTTCTAGACAAGTGATATTTTAATAGAGTGTAAAATTCTAGAATTACTTTTCCAAAGATCTGTAATGCAGGTATGTAGAGCAGAGTTTATAGTTCTGAATGTTAAAAATTATAAATAAATAAATAAAAATAAAAAAATATATCAGGGCTTATATATTGCTCTGCCTTTGATACTCCAGAAGAGTTTGCCAGCCAATCAATCACAGATGGTAAAGATTCGCTTGACACACAACTTGCTTGGTAATTACCGTGCTCTTATTGAGTATTCATGGAAGTAGATACCTACATAATACTGTTCTATCTACACACAGCCTTCCAGTTGGGCTGCAGGTTACATTGTGTTTTTTGTTTTTCTGGTATTTTCTGTAATGTGAGTAGTTTTTTTTTTTTTTTTTATTTAGTAGCGTTAGGATATGATGTTTTTTTGTCTAAATTGATGGACAAAGAAAGGAGCTCTTCAATCAAGATAGAAAGATAAATATACATTTTTGTTTTTTTCTATATGTTAGTTTGCATTAGAATATTTAGTCTTTTCCTCACTATTAAGTATTTATATAAGGTGAGTAGGAAGGTATTTAATTTGGGTGACTATGGGCTTAGGGGCCATCTGTGAGGGTAATGTAGGATTTAACACCATATGGGACCAGGAGACCATCTCCAGGACCATTATCCCCATTTAAGGATACAACCTTATTGTGGGATTAACCCTTTGGGGGGGAGGTGACAAGTAGGGGGCCAGGAGACTTGCCATCTCCTAAACAACCCATGGGAAAGAAGAAGGGGAAAGGCATCTCACTGGATTTCTGCTTGTATTACTGGGCTACCAGAAGACCCCACATTTTTTTTAATAATAACTAACTTTGTTAATCATAGATAATTCATCATCTCTCTCATTGTGAGGGAACCAATTGGCTGAATCAAATGACAGGCTGTTTTTTTTACATAGCATGTCTTATTTTATTAATTTCACTGTATCTTTTATTACCATAGGGCTTTCTACGGTGGCACTTTGGTCTTTGGCCTGGTCTTTCTAGATATAGCAAGTATGCAGGCAAAAAGACTTAAATTCCATATACTAAAAGTAGCAAATGGAGTTGCAGTTTCCTAT